AGACATATGTGGAAGGCAGCAGGGGTTGACCAGATGTCAGGGGTGCTCTCCTTCAGCTGTGGTGGTCCTGGGGGAGCCATGTCCTTGTAGGATGCCCTTCTGGCCTTGCTGTGGTGGGTACCATTGGGCGATGACCTTGAGTACTCTCTAGATGTCACTCTGCACCTGGGCAAATTCAGGCTTCCTAAGCTTATTCTGCATTCTAGGGCCCAGTTCTCATTGGTCAGTTGACTTATGGAAGAGAATAATGTTATATCTTGATCTCACACCTTCCCCGGAAATATATTCCAAATAGTTTAAAGATTTGAATGGGAAATATAAAGTTTAAATACTTTTTAGAAGATAACCGTAAGAAAGAGTATTTTTTTCCCAAGGTTAAGACCCCAGGGCTGTTAATCTGGTGACAGTTGGAAAGTCAACGAACCAGTCCCTGTGGCTCACAACGAGTGCTGCAGACTCAGAAAGCTGCTCCCTGAAGGGTTGAGCTGGGCCCCCTGATGCTAAGGGAGGAAACCTGGCCCTGGCCCACGTGGAGTGCAGAATCAGTCCTCACAGCAGTGTGAGCGCAGAGATTCAGTGCCCTCCAATGTGGGGAACAAACGCTGTATCACGGGCCAGGATGACGCCTTCTAAGTCCAGGAGTTGCAGACCATGGAGGACCTGAAGGGGGCGCTTCCAGGGACTGTGGACCTCCAAAAACGATACCGGGGGAATACATGCAACTCCCAAACCTGCGAGATACTCAAAATTTGAGTTCGTGTTCTCTAAAATCAAAGAATTCTAGGAACAATGGAGGTTAAGAGTAGGAAAAATGTGAGAGAAAGATAAGGTTGTGTCTTAAGAGAGAGAGAAAGGAGACCAGAAAATGGGTTCAAGAAAGGGGATCTTTTTGACTTCAAGGAAGGAAGGAAGGAGAGAATTTCTTAAAGTACATCAAAAAGGAAATCATTTAATGAATGTAATTGTACTGTATACCTAGAATGTACCAATAAATTCAATAAAAAACGAAATCATTAATAGGTTTTGCGTATTAAAAATATTAAAATGTGAAACTTTAGCATCACCAGAGACATCAAAAGCAAATTCAGAAGTCACATTATTGGAGAAGATACTTATAATGACTATAACGAGGAAACAGTGCCTGGAATTTAAAAATAACTCCTAGAGCAAGGAGAAAGGAGAAGGAAAGAGGAGAAGAGAGGGAGAGTGAGACCGGACAGTAAAAGGTAATTCAGAGAAGAGAAAGTGTATATAATCCGTAAATAGAGAGTTGACCGGTCCCTCTAGTGGTCAGAAATGTAAGTTAAAAAATGAGATAGTACCTTTTTTTTTTTTTTCTTAAAAGAAAAAGTCTTTTACTTCTCAAGCAGACAAAAATGTAGGGATCCAAAAATATTTCAAGAACACAATTAACAATTTTGTTGTAATAAACACATAAAACATATGCAGGCATGATCAAAATTACAGTGGATATTAATATTAAAATTTTTACAGTAAAATATACATTACCATTACTCTCCCTCGAATATTCATAAAAATAACTCCTAGAGCAAGGAGAAAGGAGAAGGAAAGAGGAGAAGAGAGGGAGAGTGAGACCAGACAGTAAAAGGTAATTCAGAGAAGAGAAAGTGTATATAATCCGTAAATAGAGAGTTGACCAGTCCCTCTAGTGGTCAGAAATGTAAGTTAAAAAATGAGATAGTACCTTTTTTAAGTTTGGCCATAAAATTACAGTGGATATTAATATTAAAATTTTTACAGTAAAATATACATTACCATTACTCTCCCTCGAATATTCACCTTTCTCTTCAAACCCACTTATCCCATCATGGCTGCCACTTTCTGAAGCAGCTCTGGAAGTCCTCTTTCATGAGTGTCTTTAGTTGTATGCTGTGGCTGCCTCCCTGTCCTGAATCAATTCCAAATGCTTACCTTTTTAACTTTGGGGAAGAGTAAGAATTCACACAGTGCCAGGTCTGGTGAATAAGGTGGATGAGGACTCACCACAGTGTTTTTACTCAGCAGAAATTGCCTTAAACATTTTGAGTCAATTCAGGACATTAAGGCAGCCAGAAAAAGACAGTCACAAAAGGGGAATGTCCAGAACTGCTAAGTTTGGCCCATAAGCCAGGTATGGTGGCACACACTTGGGAGGCTGAGACAGGAGGACTGCCCCAAATTTGAGGCCAACCTGGGCTACATAGCAAGACCCT